TGTCAGATATCTGGGATGCGAGGAAGGCAGAGGGCTGGGAGCTGTGGTGCTCCTTCTGCAGCTCAGCCCAAAGAAGACAAAGTGAATTATGCAAGAGACTTGATCAAATTTCTTTCTTAAGTTTCATTGGCAGACTTCAGTTTCACAGCTCCTGAGGTCACACTGTTCTGTTTGAGAGTCTGAGGAGCATTTGCAGTGTAACAGAACTGTGAGTTTCCAGAGAAGCCCCTCAGAGCCCCAACATGACGTAGGTTTTCCCATCGAACTAGTTTCTCATTAATTAAAAAAGTATTCACCTTGGATAGCATGAACTCTTTGAGGAGGATAGTGGAGACAAGTTATTTATCTTCAGCCTTTAATCCCTTTTTTTTTGACCTTTGCTTATTTCTTCCATGTTAGTTATTCATGTCTCTTGCATATCCGAAGCATCTTTGCTGGAACCTGCAGGAGGATCATTGCTCTATTTTCTAACTTCTCAATCTTGTCCTAATCAAAAATGTAAATACATGCATAGTGATTTGCATGTCATTAACTTCCAAAAAACACTGTCATGCTAAAATCAATGATTTTTGGAATCCAATTTTCCTGCCTGCCTGAGAATTAGCACCTGGAATTCATGAACCAAGAACTCTGAAAATATGAACTGCTTTCAGCACTGCTGTTTACCTTCTTTTTTCAGTTTGTCCAGGGAAGAACATTAATTTAAAAATAGGGTGGTGGTGATTTTTCTTACCAGTTTCTTTCTTCAGTCTTCATACTTCAACAGAAAGTTTTGTTGCTTTTTTTAAAATTTAACAATGAGTAAAGTTAGCATGGCATAAACTCATTGTACACTCATTTTTCTCAGTGAAAATTCTCATTGTGACAATTTATGAACACAGCATCTAACACATACCAGGAATTTATGGGAAAATACTTGTGAACAAGAACTTTGAGATTTCAAGGAATACAGGGAAACCAGGAGAAAATAATGTCATTGGGGCAGGGCTGGCAGTGAAGCTGCCCCTGAATTTCGGTTTCCTTGGCACAGAGCTTTGTGTACCAGCTGAAAGATCAGGCTGGGAACCTGTGTGGAGCAATCAGCAGACAAGGATACGACACGGGCGCTTTGCCAGCAGTTTACATGAGTGGCTTTGCTCGTGACAGGGTTGCTGAGAATAAGAATTCCTGGGTTTTCACTTGTGGAGGTGATTGCCACTGACATCTCAGGGATGCTGAGTGTGTGGGTTTGACAGAGTTGTTCTATCTTTAAGAATAAGCAGATGAGATTTAATTCCTGTTAAAAACCTGAGGTCTGAAATGAGCCTTTGATACGCTTCACTTGCCCAGGACTCTGGGCTTGTTTTAATAGGCTGCCTTCAAGTCAGTGAGTCTGTAAGCCGGCTCAGGGTTACTCTGGATCAGATGCCAGAGCCTATAAGGGCTCTCCCTCTCTGAAAACTCTCACAGTCTTTGAAGACAGGATTATCAGCAGTGCTGGAAATGCCCTGTGCTGCTGGAGTGTGTTACACTGTGGTTAGAAAGGCACATTCTGCACCCCTGGGTAGCAAACAGAAAGGGCCACTGCTATTGATAATTCAGTGTAGCAACTTTAAAGTGTCTTTTCTTTAAGGAAGGAGGGGAAAACAGTGTGCAACAGTTCTCTTGATGCAAATAAAATATATACTTCTAAATGGTGAGATAAAATGTAAGGCAAACTGTGGATCAGATTTAAGTTCCAACTATTTTTGAAAAACCATCTTGCTTTCTATGCTGGAACACATTTAGCTGTGTGATGTCTGAGAAATGGCAGCTGTATTTCCCATTCAGCATTGTTTCTAATGAGTTTCTGTATTAAAAGGTGTTTGATCTCTCACTTAGAAAAACACAAACAAACCATTTTTTAAGCAACCATCTAAGTCTTTAGAAACCAGCTGTGTCTCTGATGGAAAGAAGCACATCATGTTCACTCTTGAGCATGTGTTCTCTTGTTGTAGCATGTGGGAATGTGCACTGGGAGCATCCTGTGAGGATCTTGACAGATGTGCATGGTTGAGCAATAGGATGTTTAGTGCTCAACTATGCAATAAGTGATGTGCCAGCAACCTTCTTAGAGGCACCAGGGCCTTCATAATTAAATAAAAGAGACCAGTGGCTATTGTCCTTCCCCAAGGCCAAATGGCACAGCACAGCTCCCTCCATGTGCCTGAGATCATTCCCTTCCAAAACAGGGTGGCAGTGACTAGAATCGCTCCTTCCAAAAAGGAGTGTCAGTGACCAGACTGGCTGTGGGGGATGGAACTGGGGGTCTCTGAGTTATGCCCATTCATTCACTGTCTGGAATGAACAGGCAAAAAACCATTCCAGTGAGAGTGCAGGAAATGAAACCACATAAACAATCTCTGACCTGTTTTGTTTATTAGTGAATCTGTAGCTGTGATGTTCAGGACCTATGACATCATCCCTCTGAAATTATTATTGCACTTTCATGTAGAAGAGGTGGTCATGTATAATTGGCTTAAACCATTTCATTCCCGTGTTTAGACTATAAATATCCCTGCTTTAGGTTTTGGTAACGCCCTGATACTTCCCTTTGTACACCAGCTCATCATTGCAATTTCACATTCATAGTGCATGAGTGCTTTTGTTTAATTAAAATTTACTGACAAAATATCAACAGAGTGAGTTCTTGACAAAATGTGAGAATTGTAATGAGGGTGCAGTTGTTATGGAAATACACTTCTGGAACTAGCATCCTTTCAATTACAAACAGAGGATATTTGTCTGAGGGAGTTTTGGAAGTGAACCTTAGGAAAACAGTTAGTTAGTTAAACAGTATTTTTATATTCATCACAGAAACCAGTTAGTTAAACGGTCTTTTTATGTTCAACACTGAGCTTCTGAAGCTATGAAAACAGTAGTTTAAGCTTTAAATTTAATCACCAGAGTATAACAGAGAATATGTTAAATAGTCTTTAATCTAAATGATTATCAAGATACTCCTCCTTTAAGTTATGCTATCATTTCAATATATATATATATTTTAATCATCCAACTATTCCAGTGAATTTCACCTGTGGATGTAAGAAGAGTCTTTGTATCTTGAATAGTTTGTGACTTCTGCAGATCATCCTTTCTCATTGTTGTATCTCAGGAGTTCACTTTTTTCATTAAGCTGTAAAAGTTGCAGTCAGTCAATTTTCCAGCTGAAGTTCTATGATGTTGACTTAAGTGTGAAAGATTCTTCCCTTCCTGGGAAACATTTTGAAGGTCTTGTCTCGAATTTTTTAGTAAGAAATCTGGACCAATTGTCTTAGTAGCTTGAGGTGTCACTTGGTGTGTTATACAGAAGCTCCAATCTAATTTTTAACCAAAATGCAGGCTTCAATTAACAAGGCATATAATTAAAGAATTTGAGATCAGACTTTTCTGGGTAAAAAAAGGTGGAATGAGAAAAACCTGTGCTCAGATCCAATGAACCTCTGGTAGATGAGGGCTGATCACAGAAACTGTGATGTGCAGTAGGTTGGTAGTGAATTTTGTTGATGTCCTTTGTAGGTGTATTTTGAAAGCAGCTTTTCCACTGGAAGAGAGTGATGTGAACAGGGTGTATCACTGGAAACCATGCTGTGTTTTGGTTAAGTGACATTTTGATTAAAATTGTTGTATATTAACACTTTTCCATTTGATGAAAAATGGAGTGTAATAAAACTTGTGCCCCTTGCCAGCCTCTGGGTTACTCCCAGCTGTCTTTACAGCTTCCATATCAGAAGGAAGAGGAAATTTTAAACTGGCAGGTAACTGACCTGTGGAAATCTTTCACTGGGCCTTTTAGACCAGCTGCTTTCCACTAAAATTCCCCTTCCAGCATGCCATGGCTGTAGGAAGCTCAGTAATTTGGCCAATTATTTTAGTGTACATGCTTGTAGCCATTATTTCTGACAATAGATCTTTATGTACATTATATATGATTCTGGCTGGATGAAACATTTTGTCTCTCTTCAATGTTATCTATCCAATTAGACAATATTCTTATAGGACTTGACTTTGGTGTAGTATATTGTTATTAGCTTTGTTATTGGACATTAATAAGACTGCAGAATGATGCTGCCATCAGTGCAGTGGACTGTGCAATATCTGTCCTCTCTAGGAAATATTAAGATAGGATTTTCTGAAGCATATTATAGCCTGAAAAACATAAACAAGATGATACCTGTTCCTACTACTGCCACTCACACATCCTTCGTTACCTGCTGTCTCTTCTTAGGAGTAATAAAAAGAAATGTTGCCCAATTAATTTTTTTACCTTGATTTGTGGGAGGTTTTGTATTTTTTTTCAGTAAGAATATACTGTATTAACTCCCAGAAGCTGGAATTTCTGTGGGAGCAACAGAAGTTGCTGTGTATCCAAAGACCTTAATTGAGCTCATTGCCCCTGTTCAGATTATATCTGAAAAAAGATGAAAAGTTTGAAATGAAACAGAAATTTTTTTGGTAGAAGAGCTTGTCTACCTGTCTACTGCAGGGAATAGCAGGTTATAAGCATGTAATTCCTGTTAGGACCAGCAACATGTGTCAGCTGTGGGTTCCTCAGGGGAGGGATCTGGGTGAGAACTCAAGCAAAGAGATACAGTTTGGGTTTTTTCACTCCTTGTTATAATAGTAAAGCAGGACCAGGAACCAGGACAAAACTGTGGCCTGCACTGAATAGCTTACAGGGCTTTACTGCTTTAAAATATATTTAATTTAGGATTGGTTTTGTTTTACGTGACTTCAGTGGTTTAAGTGGTGGACAGAGAATGGTCCTTCTGGAGGGCCTTCTTTCCAGGTGGCTCAGTCACCTTGGCAAGGGTGAAACCTGGTGGGGAAGCCAAGAGCCCTCAGAAATGTAACGCTTTTCCTGATTTTTGCTTTCAGCCCTGTTACATCCACCTGGATCCACTCTCTCCCCATTGGAAAGTCCAAGAGCATCAGGACAGAGAAAGGGTCTGCAGACTTGCCCCTGTGGGCACCGACCACTGTACAGACCACTCCCCTTGCGGGCACAAGGTAAGGTCATCCAGGGGGCAGAGAGGCTTCTTACAGGAGGGAAAAGCAATCTCAGGATCAGCACTGAACATCTCTGCTGGCCTTTCACCCCACAGAAGTTGTCTTGCACCTGTGGACCCTGTTTTTCCTCTATTTCTTTCCCTTGGCTGTAAGTCAGAGGTACCCCAGTGCTGTCCTCCATGTGGTTACACCATGTGAGGGACAAGAGCTGGTGACAGAGGCAGCTGTCCCTCTCCTCCTGCAGTCTGACCTTAGTTTTGAGGCTTCCTAAGCCTCCCACTGGTGCTGACACTCGTTGCATTCCATCTTTATGGTTTGTCCTCTCATGTCTGCCAGCTCCCCACCCTGGAACTGAGGTGTTATCTATGGCAATCTGTGTTATCTGGGCTGTTATCTGCGGCAAATACCACAAGCATGACCTGCAAAACTCAACTGAACCCACCTTTTTTCATGTGCTGAAAAAGTGTTATAGAAGAAAAACACGCTGCTTTTTTTTTTTTTTATATGCTCCTGCTGCCTGAACCAGAAAAGTGTGCATTACCTTACCATTGGCATACTTCTTAGCTTTTTACTTTTTAGTAGTGAAGATGACCCTAAATAAATATTTGGAAATGTTATCATGGAACAACTTTTGACAAATGGTGCTTTTTACTCTGGTTTTTCCACTTTTACAGTTAGGTGTGAAAAGTAATGTTTTTGTGTCACTGTGAATGCTACTTGTCAGTCCAGTAAAATGAGTGTGCAGAATAAAGCCATGTGAAATTTTTAGACATTTTAGCATTCTTCTTATGCTTCAAAGCAGAAAAGAGAAAAAGGAGCCTTTTTAAAAGCTCAACTGAAAACTTAAAGATTTTGTTGAAATTTTCTCTCCTGTGGTAATCCACCTGTTTGATATGACTTTTGTCAACAAAGCTGGACTAAAACTTTGAGGATTACTTTGAAACCTTCCTCACATGAGACTTCAGATTGACTAAGAAGGTATAAAATTTCATGAAATTAGACTCATCAAACTACTTATTGCTTCCCTTTTTTCAAAGTTCCCTTACTTGCCAAACTAGATGGGACAAAAATACAGTGCCAGTTACTCTGATTGCAGGAGTTTAGCTCTTGGTAACACACTTCTAGGAGAAAACGCATATGGACTTCTTTTGGTACAGTTTACTCATGCTTATGTTTTTTATTCAGAGTGACAGAATGTTGTGCAGTACAAAATGACATGTGTAGTAATATATTCATTATACTGATATTTATTGATACCTAAGAGTCTATAATTTTAAACTGGAAATAATGTCCTGCTGAGATCCTCAGATATCAGCATTTCCTTGCTGGTCATCTTGAAGTGTGAAATGGTCCTGTGAAGTGTAGTCTAATTAATGGATTTTGGTAATTTATACTGCATATCAGTGTAATCATTACCCCAAACCTTACTCTACCATGTTGTTGCAATTGTTGGTTTTATTTGTTTCCCTCTTAGCATTTGGCTACAGTTGAACTGTTTATAAAATTACTGTTCAGTATTTCAGCTTCTCTCCAGTCAACTCTTATTTTGAAAATTGCTTTTTCATGTCTCTCACTCTTTTTTAAAATTAAAATCCTGCTTGAACCAGATGGTAGTTTTAGATTTTCACTTTTGAACTTGGATTTTTTTCCCCTTTTCTTTTATTTTTTGTAGGCAGTTTATTCTATTTTAATCTCTCAGTAAGTAACTACAGATTGTAATATTTTTAAAAGTTTGTAGAATGAGAAGCACCAGATAATAATTCAACTGGTGACCCCAAAAGAGAACAATATTACTTGTTTTCTAGACCTTAATTTATATGCCAGTTGATTGAGATAAGGACTTCAGACCTCCATATTACATCTTTGCTTGAGTAATACAGACATTCTGCAGTGGTGGAATCAGATCCACAGATTCAAACCAACAAGAAAATGAAGGGAAATATGAAAATGAACAAATATTAATTTTAATCCTTCTTTAGACCTTTTTCCACTGTGTGTGTGGAGTCACATCAGTGGGAAAACTTGGGTCCCCTTGGGTACTTGTAGCTGATGCAAGTTCCTGATTTCCTAAACATCTTATGTTTCAGTGTGCTCAGTTCACACAGATTAATTTCATCAGTTTCTCACAAACTATAGACAAATGCTGCATTGATAGTTGCAAATCTATACAAAAATGCTTGTGCTTCAGAACACCTGGAGGTATTAAACAGGTTCTGTAGGGAACAGAGGGTTTGCCTTGAAACCTGTCTACCTGTAAACTAAAAATGGAATGTAAAAAACCCAAACCAAACCAGAGCTGGAGAAAGTAATCAGTATATACAGTCCTGCTGTAATAAAATATGGGCATCATTTTGCTGCTTCAAACCATGGCAATGTTCCATATAAATGAATTAATAAACTCCCATGAGATATTTGAATACTATCATGCATTTAGAAAAACAGTCATGTAACCACTGAATAGAGTTTATTAGGTAACCAGAAATACTGGCTGAAGGAAAACCCAACAATTTTTACATTTGTTGTTCATACAAGTAAGACATACCTGTTGGCTTATACCTAAGTGTATTTTATCTTGCTTAGGGACAGAGAGTGAACTAAACACCTTCTTGATGTCTTTTTGGATCCTAATCTACCTGATATTTGGCCTGACTGAAGTGGTCAGTTAAAAACTTTCAGGTAAATTGTTTATGAAGCTGAGAAAGTGTAATTGAATTTATATTTTCCTGAAGAAATTTCTTCTCTGAATGTTAACCCTATTTTTTTCTACTGATGACAATCAGTTAATAATTTCCTCCAAAATTTCTACATTACTTTACTTGTGTTTGAGGACAACCAAAAATCACTTGTTTATTAGTGTAAAGCATTTTGCTAAAAGAACATGTAGTTCTGTCCAGGGAGGGTGTAAATTCCTCCTCTGATTTCTGGATGTGGATCATTTAATTAATGGGCTGTCTGATAATGTGGTCACACCTTTAAGTCAGTCTTTCTTAAAAAGGACAGAGTGTAGCAAATTCCTGGCAGCCTCACTGAATTATAACACTTTCAGAAGTCACTAAGCCAGTTAAGAAATATCCAAGGTACACTGATCAGTTGTTTAGTCAGTTAATGCCAACAGGATGTCGGTGTTCCCTGGCTGGGAACATTTGCAGATGGTGGGATCGGTGGTATTGTCTCTTCTGGCAATATATAAAACTCACTGGAACTCTTGAAATTACCTTTCTATGTGCTTCTCTTCCATTGTGAAAGAATGTGTTGCCCCAAGGACTGTTCAGTGAGGTCTCCTAAACATCATCATTAAGGTGGTGCTTAGGCTTCTGTAAAGAAAAGAGTGTGGTGGCCTAAGGACAGTTGTGAAAAGGTTGAAAAGAAATCTGTTTCAAACAATCCCAAAATCAGGCATTAGTAAGGTACAAGGTTTTTGTGTCATACATTTAAACTCCATGTAAGAGCAGGATGCAGAAGAGTTTCTGCTTGCTGACTTTTTTTTTTAGTTCCACCAAAGTAAATGTTATTTCAGTTCTGCTGGCATACTCCTGAATCATAGAATCATAGAATCAGATGGGTTGGAAAGGACCTCTGAGATCATCAAGTCCAACCCTTGATCCAACACTGCTGTGGTTACCAGACCATGGCACTAAGTGCCATGTCCAGCCTCATCTTAAAAACCTCCAGGGACGGAGAATCCACCACTTCCCTGGGCAGCCCATTCCAGTGCCTGATTACCCTCTCTGGAAAGAATTTCTTTCTAATATCTAACCTAAACCTCCCCTGGCACAGCTTAAGACTGAGCCCTCTTGTCCTACTGCTGATTACCTGGGAGAAGAGACCAACCCCCACCTGGCTACAACCTCCTCTCAGGTAGTCGTAGAGAGCGATGAGGTCTCCTCTGAGCCTCCTCCTCTCCAAGCTAAACAACCCCAGCTCCCTCAGCCTCTCCTCATAGGACTTGTGTTCAAGTCCCTTCACCAGCCTTGTTGCTCTTCTCTGCACCTGCTCCAGCACCTCAATATCCTTCCTGAACTGAGGGCCCCAGAACTGGACACAGCACTCCAGGGGTGGCCTCACCAGCACTGAGTACAGGGGAAGAATCACCTCCCTGGTCCTGCTGCCACACTGTTCCTGATCCAGGCCAGGATTCATTGGCCTTCTTGGCCACCTGGGCACACTTCTGGCTCCTGTTCAACTTCCTGTCAATCCAAACTCCCAGGTCCTTTCCTGCCTGGCTGCTCTCCAGCCACTCTGTCCCAGCCTGTAGCACTGCAGGGGGTTGTTGTGGCCAAAGTGCAGGACCCGGCCCTTGACCTTGTTGAACCTCATCCTGTTGGAACCAACCCAACTCTCCAGCCTATCCAGGTCCCTCTACAGAAAGGAAGCTGCAAAGCAAAAAACCAAAAAAACCTCTGACTTTACCTGCTCTGTGTTTCATTTCCTATTTCTTGGTTTGCATTCCAGAGATTGCTGTTGTAAATGTCACTGGTGGCCATAGGATAAGGGAAGTGTAACGGAGCAGAGCCTTTGGTGAAAGTTTTGTCCCTTTCTCAGCACAAATTAAACAGGCAATGAAAAGCAGAGGTTGTAAAATCCTTCAGGCCAGGCAAGGCTGGCAAGGGGAAGGACAGGGCAGTTGTCACTCGGGGCTGGGTGTAGGTGGAAAGAATAGGACTGGTTCCCTGGCAGAAGGACTCAAAGAGAAATGAAGCTGCAAGTCAAACATTTATCATCCTTCAGTCTTTTGGGGCTTATTCTGGCTTAAACTGTGCAAGGAGAAAAGGTGGTGTGAGTTCTAGGACACTGGTTGTAGGGATTGTCACAATGCTGTCCCTTAATAATCAAAAATTCAAGTGTGTTGTAAGTGTAGGGTTGAACAGAGGTGATGAGTGTTGTAATAGGGTGTCAGGTTATTTAGGTTTGAGATGACAAGGAAAATAATTTATTTGAGGTTTGAGAGAAGTATAGACAAAAGTTTGGAAGTCACATGGGAACCATGGAATGAGGACATT